TAATAATAACAATAGAAATGGAGGGAAGATCCGTCGGAATTTTAAAAAGAAGGAGGAACAGGCTGGCACTCGACCAAAACGGAATACATAATTTCACAATTCTTACGGTGACTCCGGCGAAGAATACCAGACAAACAAGACCACCGACAGTAGTAGAGATAACGGAAGATGACTTCGTAAACGTGCCAAAAGAAGGAGCTGAACAAGTAAAGACAACAGTCAATTCAAACGCTTCACTGTTTATAAAAGAAACGATACCACAAAGAGAAGAGATCAACCCCTTTGACATCGCTGGAGACGAATACATTTTGTCGACGAACGTTAACTATTATCAAGAAATGGAAATCTCCATGAACAACGATCCAACGATAAATAAGGGCGCCCCGACGGCGTCAAAGCCGAACGTGACACTAACAAACAGCCCGGCTCAAGAGAAAGAAGAGATAACGAGCAAACAAAACGTAAAAGAAAACAACACAACGAATAAAGACAACGAAACAGACTTCGAGGAAGACCTATTAAGGATCTCACTCCCAATAGAAGAGCCGACGGAGAACACATCCGCCACGTTAAAACTGTACAATAGAAAGGAGGGAAACAAAATAGGAAATAACGGAGCGCAGGGAAAAATAAAACATGACAGGTCAGTTATAAAAAATTACTATCAATATGGTAACAGACAATGATTTATTCAACTCTCAAAATCCCATTGCCCAAATTACAAATAATATATACAGAGATAAAAATTAAAATACCCCAAAAAAAAACAAAAAGAACCGCCCTGGTCTCCTGACCGAAATAACATTAACAAACAAAAACAACGCCCAATGAAACCTGAAAACAAAAAGACAAAACACGATCATTAATATGAAAAAATTCTTCTCTATGTTTTAAAAAATACAGGAATCATAGGAAACACAACCATCGTAACGGAAGTATCACCAGCAACGGAACCATTATAATGTAAAGGACAACCTACAAACTAAGGAAAAACTGGAGAGGCACGATACGTACGACAAACAAGAAGAACAAAAACTGGACAAACGGAAAACGTAATCCACGACGAAAGAAGAACAAATCAACAAGACAACAACTACGAAAAGCAAAAATGTATATAAAAACAAATAAAATTTTACTATTAACATTAATCATGACCTAACTCTAAGAAAACATGTAAATATATACACACATAGATATAATGTGTAAATACAAACCTATTGATAATAATCTGAAGTCGACTAGAAGTGATCACTATCTCCCCAAAGAATAAACTCCTACCGTCGTTCTCACCAAATCAAAGACGCACAAAAATTCTTCTTTTTCCAAGTCAAAATAATCCACACACCGCAACCCCAATTGAACGGTCATCCATCTTCTGCAGACCTGAAAAAGAATAAAACTAAAAATGTAAACAGAAAGAAATTCGACATATACAGGAAATAATAGACAAAATCACTATACTCTACAGCAAACATATTTACACTTCAAACAACAACCAAGCGGATACCCCCAAATTCAGCTTACAAAATATATATATTTCAAAAATAGGGGGGAAAAAATTCACTCCGACCCACATCCCGAGCAATAAACAGACGCAATTCCTTTGAAAATCATAGACAACCGATACTCCCACACACCGTCCATAAAAACACAGTTAAAAAGAAATCAAACGAACGAAAAAGACAGCAAACGATCTACAAAAATACAAAAAGACGACCGACACATATCAACAAACAACCCCTCGAATAACAATGATATTGCAAATTAGTCACCTGAATCAGAATACATTTAAACCACCGACTCAACCAACCTAAAAAAACGAAAACCCGTAAAAACCTCGGTTAACCCATACACTGTTCAAGATAGGAAAATCAAATAATTTGCATACAACCGTTATAAAATTCACAGAAAACAAAGAACCAACAAATACACATCAATCTGACGTACATAGGTTAGGTCGAGAGAAACATAAACACGGGCCCAACACGGCACCGAAAAAGCATTACAAAAGGCACGCGGACTGAGAAACTTGACGCGCGAAATCCAAACGATAAAGAAAGGAAAAACGACCCCAGACACTCAAACAAACAGAAACGGCTAAACAATAGACGGAAGAAAAAGAACAAAACCAAAAACCAACACAACTAATGAAATTAACACTGACTAAAACAATACAAACGATAGAACGATAATAGAATAAAAACAAGACAAATTAGAATAAAATAACATTTAGACAACGGTTTTTATCCGCAATATATAGAACATAATAAATGAAACATACGAATGCACAACACACAAATATTAACAAACCATCAGAAATTATCACGAAACACCAACATACATATAGACAACAAATTAAACGCAAAACTACAAGTACAGAAACGTACGATCCCGAATGCAAATACACAAATACAGGTAACGAGACAAATAAATCCCCTAAAAATACAATAAAGGATCAGACAAGAAAAACGAAATAAAATATACCAAGATAAACTAACAAATTTTTTAAAAAAATATATTCACAAAAACCGCACAATCGCGATTAATGAAAATTGAAACTACTCCCCATGAATTAACTACAAAATAATGTTTATTCAACAATCTCGCCCGCAACATAAGAAACATATAAAAAGAAACACCCGATCATACAATGCACAAATATTAACAAATCGACTGAAATTGCTACGAAACAATAACGCAAATACAGAAAACACACGATAAACAAATACAAATATAAAAACACAGGTTCCCGAATACATATATACAATTTCAGTTACCGAAATAGACAAATTTACTAAAGACAATACAGAACCATACAAGAAGACGAAATTAAAAAATACACCAAGACAAACTAATAAACTTAAACCATATACAAAAATCGTATAAACACGACCAACGTAAAACCAAAAAATTTTCTCTCCCCACGAATTAAACAATAGATCAAGACCTTTTCAATGATCTTGCCCGCAATACAAGTAACACACTAAATAAAAACACCCGACCGTACAACGTACGAAAATTAACAAATTAACGGACACGGTTACGAAACATTAACATACATACAGATAACATATCACACACAAATACCAAAAACAGAATACATACACTCGAATATTTACACATGAACACAGCTACTGAAACGGAAAAATCAAACACAATATGAAAACTCTATAAGGAAAATAGAAACAAAAACGCACCAGAAACACGATCAAAACTATGCCTCGGAACAGCATCCGCCATGCAAACTATACAAAAATTACAGATAAATCGCAATACTCTATGACAAAAACATCCGCAATCCGTTGATTGAATAAACGGTACACAAACGAAGAGCCCATGTCGCCAAAAATAATCCTCTGCAGATCTAAAAAATCAGAAAATTAAAATAAGAAACTAAATAATAAAGAAAATTAGATATACTAAAAAACAACAAAATTACTACACACAAACAGCAAATATACTCACGTTGCATACAATAATGAAACAAACATCCCCAAGCCTGAATCACAAGAGGAACAATTAAGGAGAATACATCCTGATCCATGTCCCAAATAACAAAACGATATAAAAACTCCTCGGAAATCATGGATAACCCATACTCACACACACGTTTTAGAAGCACGAAAACCTAAAAACATAATCAAAAAAGAAATTAAACACACGAATAAAAGACAACAAACGACTTACCAGACAAAGAGATGTTCGAAACAGCCCCAGAAATCGACAAACGACCACTTAATCAACCCAGATTAATATCGAAATTACAAATTATCCACCTGGACTACCGCC